TTATAGATCTGAAGGAGCCATACACTCTGGAGGACACGATGGATATCGAGGAGTCCCTATGACCTTACAAGCAGGGGCCGATTTTGCCCAAAGGGCAGCCTATTGCAGCAGATCTGGTTGGGAAGTGATGAGATGGCCTTTTGTGGCACTCTTTTCCAACGCCTGTGTGATGAGTCTGTGAAGTTCTCCCCTCCAATGTATTGGGATGTGCAGATGGATGATCTGGAGGATGGCCCCTTCGGCGAGCTCTTCATTGATCCGGATGTCAAGACGATCGTCCCAATTCTTTTCCAAGCTCATTGGGGAGCAATTGAAGCGGAGAGGATTCAGAATTCTCTTGCCCGCCTTTGGGAATTATATACTCGTTTGCAACGCTTTGCATCAAGCATCCAAGATGTGCACATCACGCAACGCGCTGCAGAGAAACCTTATGTGTCTTGAAATCCCCCTTCATTAGGGAGATCCCAAAACACCCTACTCTCCTTGACATTCACCACAACATTCAGTGGATTCAATTGCAACTTGCCAGTTGGGATTTTTCCAAACGCCAAGCACGTATTCAAGCCTGGAAGCGTAAGATCAAAGAGTCCGCCACCTCGAATAAGAAGTTACATTTTCCATCATCTCCGTAATAAGAGTTCTGACGAGCCTGTTAACCGTGTTTTGGATGCTGATTCCAATATCGTGTGCCAGCCTAATGACGCCCTGCGTTTGATTTCAAATACGTGGGGCGACATTTTCGCTTCTAACATTTTGCATGATGACCCTTTACGGGTTTTGCAAACTGCTTGGCCCTTTTTGCGCCATGAGGTGCAGCCGTGGTCTCTCCCTGACCTGGACGCCAGCGATCTCGCCCAGACGATTGCTGGTAGGAACCCGTTGGCGGCTGCAGGCCTTGACGGTTGGAGAACCACAGATGTCCAGAACACCTACCGATCAAGTGCCTCGATGTACTGGCCGCCTTTTTCACTTACCTTGAGAAAGCACAGGGTTTTGATATCCCCGCTGTCTTGGTCTGTGCAAAACAAGCCATTTTAAATAAGGTTGGACCGGCTAGCCCCTTGAATAAGCGGCTCACAACAATACTTTCTCCTTTCTTGTTGGCCTGTACGGGTACCCGTTTCAGGCAATTACAGCATTGGCAGATGTCCACCATGCATCCTTCTTTATTTGGAGGAATTCAGTCCAGGACTATGTCTTCCGTCAGCAACGGGATGCGCTTAGACATTGACACTGCAAGAGCCACGTCCAATCATCTTGTCGGTATCAAACTCGATCAGTCTAAGCGCTTTGATCGTATAATACCAACCATTGCTGCTACTTTCATGTTAGCTCTCGGTGTGCCACAAGGAGTGGTTAACATTTTTCTTATGATGTGCAGGGGCCTGTCTAAGCATTTATCGTATGGAGGTTGGATTTCTAAGACTCATACAACAAATGCAAACGGTGCGGCCCAAGGCTGTTCTTTGTCCTTGATCGCCATCAATGCGTATATACATGTTTGGGCGTGCTTCATTGATCATACCCCACATGTTGTGTCACGTGTTTTCATCGATGACGCATATTTGTGGGTTCGATCGTCTCATATTTCACATCTGCGTACTGCCCTGCAGGCAACTGAAGTTTGGTGCACTCTTGTCGGCCAGAAACTTAATCACTCTAAAAGTGTTCTGTGGGAAACTTCTTCCCAAGCCCGGAAGGAAGCAAAACACACCTTTCCTGAACTTCCACTCCATCTTGAATTTGATGTTTAGGGGGCCAAGATGTATACCTCTGATAGAGATGCCTACCTTTTTGATTTGACGAAGTTTTCCAAGATTGTCGCAGATACTCGAAACATTGCAAATCTCCCAGTCCCTCGTTATCTTAAAGAACAACTTGCTGGTGCAAAAAGTTCTTCCACAGTTGTCATTGCATCACATATTTCAAGAATTCCCAAGAGGATCCTTGATAAAATTCAGAGTGAACTTGTACACTTGCTGTGGGCTAACCGGCCCCACTGGAGGTCCAAGATGCTTGTTTTCGCATTCCTTTCCCGACCACATCGTATTGAACCAATTTGTGCTCGTGCATACTGTTGTGTTCTTGACTTTTCGCATTTTATTCATGCGCAACCTCACCGGATTGAGCAACGCTGTGCTTTTACTTCTAGTCAAACAGGCCCTAAGCATGGTCTCATGACTCAGGTTCGCAATGCCCTGGCCACTTTTCGCCTCGGACTGACCAAGGACTTAGAGCTCTCCTTTGCCAATATGACTATCCCAATTCTCCATATCGGAGTCAAAGACATTACGCAACTTTGAAAAAGCTGCCCTTCAATCACGCAAGGATCTGTCAAAGCCCTCGGGGGTTGTTGATCTGTCCTTTTACCGGAAATTTTTTGCCCGCTACAATAAGCCGTTTATTCAGTGCTTTGATCTCACACCCCACTTTGAATCACAAACGGTTGGGTGTACAATTACAAACGATCGTCGCTGTGCTGCTGGGTTGTGTGAGTCAAGCGCGCGCCGCTTCTGTGGCACACTCGGTCGTTGAACCTGAACCGGAACAGGAAGATCGCTTGACTCTGCTGAAAAAGCGTCTCCCACGTTGGAATTGGAACCAGACTGCCTCAGATTTTTCATGGACTTCCACTGCCCGAATCCATCATCCAGAGGGATGGTTAGCTAGCTTGGACCCTCGTGACCTTTCGGCCTTTTTTGACTTCACCTCCTCCCTGGAGTGGTATGTACAGGAAGAAGCATGTACTGCGTATAGTGAGTTCTCCTTTCTTTTCTGGAAAAGGGGATATGTCTTGCGTTCGTGTGCTTCTGCGGACACCACCTTTCGTGACTTGAACTTCTGGTTACGGCGTGTTCTCGTCTTCATCAACAAAATCTCCAATGATGGAGTTTTTCCAGGCGCCCAAAGGGGCTGCGTGCGGATTCGGAATGAGGGAGATAGAAAGAGGCTTTACACTCCAAATGCGACGTTTGATGAATCAAGAGCTCACAAAACATCGATTTGATAGCAAGAGCACGCGTACCCTGAAGAAACAACTTCCGCACGTCCATTTACGCGGTGTTTCTTCGTTGAGCCGATTTCGATGTTCAGGATCGTCGGTTGGGTCACCACAGATGCATCAGCTGCATCTGGTCCAGTCTTCTTCAAGCTGATGCCAGAGGTCCGGGAGCTGAAGAAAATGAACGCGAAAAGAAAACCCGATGTGGTTTTCTCAGGTCGAGAACCAGAAGCGCGGGCGCCGGCCAGGAAGCCTAAAAGGGAAAGACAGGAGTTAGGTCCCAAGGACATGTTTGGTGAACAGGAAGCATATGAAGCACAAGCGGGTAGCAGCCAATCAAGTTCAAATTTAGAATGGATGGAAGAACATCACGTTCAGCGGTGGCGGTTGCCGATGCAGGGTTAAAAACTGCTTGCGCGCGCCCACCTAAGGCCAAGAACCGTTCATACACGTGAGAGTCTAGATTGAAGCAGGATACGTTCCTTGCAAAACCTCACTTTCAGGTTGGATGCCATCGCTAGTAGGGTGGAACGAAACGCAGATTCGCCAGTCCACCGGGCTCACATGACCGCAAGAGTCGATGAGGTGATCGAGCGCCAGTGGCCTTTTTGCCCGAAGCTGGAACCAGAAAAGGTGTTTGCACGCGTGCGCGCGTTACACACCACTGTTTGTGTTCCTTTACTTGGTGTGCCAGAGAGATGTTAGGTAGCCCACCAACATGTGCACATGCTCATGCTACTAGAACTGTGATATAGTTGCAAGCCTGCACATTTGCAATGTTTTTTTGAAGGTTTCAGATTTTAGAAAACACAACGTTTGCAGCAAATGTTAACATTTCTGGGTTGAAGGACATTGACATGCTTGCAACTTGTTTATTTTTTTTTGTTCTGCGCACGATCGTTGATCCCTTTGTTGCTCGAAGGGCATCGAACCTGCTTAGCAGGCTTCGAAGTTGGATAAATCCCACCTGCCCTGTGATCACTTCCAACTGCTTCCAGAATCGACACCACACCTGAGCTGCTTGCATCGCATCGCAGTCACCAACGTCTACTGTCGGCCTCGGCCTCACGTTTAGTTGCCACCGATCTCCTGATGTTTCACACCGCGAAGCGATGGGTCTTCTTGGCCACTTGGCCACAACACGTCGTTTGTGTGAAGTGCGTCAGTCTGCTCGCACCCGGCGAGATGTGCGTTGGGTTGTGCGTGGGGTGTCGAGACCCGAGTTTGGGGTAGCCAAGGCGATTGCGTTGCTGACCAGCTGCGTAGCTGTAGCCACCAATGCTACGTTACCAGTCTTCAAAATTGGAAGCTTGGTGACAATCATGTGCTTCCATCAGATTTGTCAATGGTGCGTCTTCCGCACAACTCACTGGAGTTTGAGTCTTGCGAGGAGTGGTAACAGTGGATTCTAGCACGGGCACAACCTTTGTAAGAGGGTTGGAATGGTGGCGTTGCTTGGCTCAATGGCTCAACCTGTTTCACGTTTCACTGCCGCTTGGCAGTCTCTGATCGCACCTGCTTCAGGTGACAAGGTCAATAACAATACTGAAGGGGGCCTGTCCACCTTGGATGGCATAGTCATGAAGGCAGGACACTTTATACTAAGAACAGCTCCCTGCTTTTCGCAAGCTTGCAGGTCGAGCTGATCACCATCCGAGCTGCTTCAGCTGCAATTGCTGCACAGATGCTTGACTTGAAGGCTTTGCAGGTTTCTTTTCTTTTTGCTTTTGACACGTTCCTCTCAAGATCATGTTCCTCAAGAGCATGTCCGGGTTGGTGTCTAAGGACCATCGTGGACTTTAGCAATGGCTCCTTGGCTCAACCTCGGTCTTTTCCGGACATGGCAAGACAGGTTCTATAACTGAAAGACCTCATGAAAGACGAAACCTGTTGGGTCCACGGTTCATCACGGTTCCACGTTTCCTTCACAGGCAATCCAAGCTTCGTGCACGTCTTGGTGAACACCTTCCAGCAATTCAACATCGCTGTGAATGACGCCATGAACGAGACACTTGGCGATGTTTGCTTTGCATCAATCGGTTGGTGCTTGCGATTCGACCGATGGGGTCCCCGACTTGGTCAAGAAAGAACCGACTGACTGCCATTGGATGGTTCGGCCTCTTGGAAGCGGCGCCACGGGGGGCGCAGCGGTCATGTGTTCTATCACACCCAGTCGTTCCGAGTCATCTCCTTGATCTTGAGTCGCTTGACTCAGCCTTCGCTTCGGTCCCAGGAACAGGATAGAAAAGAACTTGATACATTGTTCCGGCGGTACACCGGGGATGTATGGTTTCGAAGATCTTGGCATACCTCGATGGGGCCACTTGGCAGATGTTTGGAGTGATGATGTCCAGTGTCAATGCCGGGTCGGAAGCATTCGAAACAAAGGCTTTCAGTTCGGGGTCATGGTGCCTTCCAGCGACTATGGTACTGGTATATTCAAGCAGCTTGGATTGAATTCAAGGCAATGTCAACAGAGGGCGGCATTACAAAGGTCAAGTTAAGTTGAAGAGGTTAAGCAGATGAACTTCTTGTCAGACCTTGAGGCATATCATGAGCTTTGGCAACCGACTGCCCAACACTCGAATCGCCTTCTTCAGAAATACTGGTTGCTTGGACAATTTGGGACATGGAACATGATGGAACCATCTCAAATGGTTTTGTGCTCATCTTTTTGCGCCAAAGGCAACTCCTTTGCCGACTACACCTGCCAAGAGTCCATCCGAATCGCCAAAGACCTCGGCATGGACACTTCGAGCTGCACTGAGAAGCTGTGGTATGCAGTCTATCCAGGTCAGTTGGCTTAGTCCTCACACATCTGAAGCTGAGTAACAAGTGCCTTACTAGTAGGGAACAAGTGCCTTACTAGTAGGAACAAGGTTTGCTAGTAGAAACTGTTCAGTCTATTCAGTCTGACGACCTGAAGCGAAGAGACCCAGACGCAGACGCATATGTCCGTGGTTGGGGACCGACGTGTTTCGCCGGGACATCTTCTCGTTCTGCTTCGGAACGGGTGGACCTGGTTTAGTCCAAGGTGCACTCTAAACCACTAAACCATGCATGGACGGATGGTAGAAAGAGGATTCCGTGTTGCTTCGAGGAAGTGGATCCCAATGAGATCTTCGAATATAGTGGCACTAGCTATGAGACTGTGATGCCTGCTGGCGTTGCAGCGTTGAAGGCTCAACAAGCTGCTTGAGCCGTCGGTGACCGTCGGTTGAGGTTGTTTTGGTCGTCTTTGTTTAAAACCCGCCCTTACTTAATTAAGTCGGCGCCTGCTTAGTTGAGTAAGGGCTGTCTACAAACTACTAGGTAACCTTTGGTAACGGAAGCTCCCCCTCCGCCCTAAAGGCGGCGGGAGCTTCCTTGAAGAAGCGCTTGCACTTATGATTGGGTTCCTAGGTCTTTTAGGAAAACTAATAGCATGGCCTCCAACCTACTAGCGATGGCCTCCAACCTAGAAGCGATTTGGTTCCTGGATTTTTAGGAAAAACACATCTTCCTGGATTCCTCGTGCTTGTGTCGAGGAGTCTGAGACAACGATTGTCATGGGCTGTACGTGGCTCCAGGATGGCCTTGCGTTGCAGCAGGTGCGCAATGCTCAAAGGAACAACGTCAAAAAAGTGATGCTCGCCTCCAGGCGATCGTTCAAGAACGTTTGGACCTCCTCGCAACCATCATCCTGATCGCGCTACTTGGCGTTTTGAATTCTTTTGATCCCTCGAGCGTGCTTGGAGGCCATCGCAAATAGGTTGGAGGCCATCGCAAGTAGGTTGGAGGCCATTGCAAGTAGGTTGGAGGCCATTGCTATTAGGTTGGAGGCCATCAGCATCGCTAGTAGGTTGGAGGGCACCGCTAGTAGGTTGGAGGCCATCGCTAGTAGGTTCGAGGCGACCGCTAGTAGGGTGGAGGCCATCGCAAGTAGGTTGGAGGCCATCGCAAGTTGGAGGGCATGGCAAGCAGGTTGGAGGCCATCGCAAGTAGGTTGGAGGCCATTGCAAGTGGGTTGGAGGCCATCGCCAGTAGGTTGGAGGCCATTGCAAGTAGGTTGGAGGTTATCGCAAGCAGGTTGGAGGCCATCGCAAGTAGGTTGGAGGCCATCGCAAGTAGGTTGGAGGTTATCGCAAGTAGGTTGGAGGCCATCGCAAGTAGGTTGGAGGCCAGCAGGTTGGAATCCATCGCAAGTAGGTTGGAGGCCCCTGCAAGTAGGTTGGACCTTCAACTCCTTCTTGTGAGGCCCACTACTGGAGCCTGGGCTGCAGCCTTCCCCAGAGATGTCTATGGACATTCTGATGGGGACTATGTCCTTGCTCCCTCACAATGGCACCACACACAGCCTCCTGGTGACATTTCAGGTCCTCATGATCATGCGGGTTTCGACACGACAGGAAGGCGCTTCGTGGCCCCAGGCGCTTCAACGACTTTTCTTCGGTTGGAAACACGCAGACCTTCTGGGCCGAATTCAAAGCGGCCACGGGCTCTGATCCGGACTACTTGCTGGCTTCATGCACAACAGCTGGCATTATCATTGAGCGAGGTGTGAACAAGGCGAGAGGATTTTCTGTATTTTAGTCTGACAAGAGGAAGCCAGGTACCATGTGATGAATCGCACTCTGAGATTCGCTTATCTACTGTGAACTGTTGGCTCTGAACACCATCAATCCCTCCGACTTTGAGATGAGCAGATGAGCATGTGCTGGGCACTTTCTGAATGTAACAGGTGGCGATGGGGAACTATTCAGAGGCCAGCAATGCCACCAGCAACAGTTGTTTAGGCGGGGGGGAATGTGTCATGAATCTGCTATCCTTTTTTGGAGCGTTTTTTGCATAAAGAGTCGAGGATGAGGATGATGAGGAATGTACACTTGAGTTGTTGGTGTGATTTTCTTGACACCTTGCAAAGCTTTTGCAGCTCGTACCAAAAAACGAGGTGAGATCAGCTTTGATGAGAAGCTCCGCTTGATGATTCGGGACTTCGAGGCTCAAGGGCTTGGCTTTTTGACTCCTTCTCCGCTCAAATGTGCAGAGGTTTTTGTGGAACGGTTCGCACCAAGGAGGATACCATGTATGGAAGGGTGCGATTTTCCAAATTTAATCAGTTGCTTGGATCTGCAGAAGAAGAGTCAGTTCGCTTGTTCAGTTTTAAGCCTTAAGCTTATAAAATTCTTTCATTGGAGAGCCTGTTTTCAAAATTTGTAAAAAGCCAAAAAGGTCAGTCCCAAAAGTCAAAGTCAAAAAAGTCAAATTAGAGTTTTTTTATTCCTTTTTAAAGAAAGTCAAAAGCAAGTCAATTTGCCCAGATCCGACTTTTTCTTTACTTTTGTGACTGTTTCTAATTTTAACATTTTTTTACTTTTTACGATTTTTTTGTTGTTGACATCTCTTTTTTACTTTTCCATTTGACTTTTTTGGACTTTCTTATTTTTTAAATCACGGATTCTGGCCTTACCATTTTTTTTCACCCTTAAGCATCAAAAACACAAGTGACGGAATTGGGTGCATGGCGACAAGATCAAACAGTATATAAGCACATACAAGTATATATATATAAGCGTAGTCCATGCGATCCTTTCACATACGTTTTCTTCTGAAACATTTGCGCAAACACACCCGGGTTGCGGATCATTTTGGAATCACGACTTGGGGAGCAAAACACGAAACAATAACAACAGACTAGATAGGTTTGGCCGGACAGAAAGACCCGCAGAACAAGTATGGCCTGCAAGATTGTTTGGATTCTTGATTTGTTTTCTTGTGCTGCTCCTATCCTGATTGGATTTTGGCAACCGGTAGCTTAATGCCTGCTCCACGTGAAGTCGAGGTACTCAATGCTTGCTTGTGGTACCACAGGAAATTGGAAATCACTCTAGCAAAAGACTGTTCCAATTCTTTAACATGTTCCATGGAGGCACCCCTACTTTGCCTGTCTCTCACATGAAGCTTTCATTTTTGCTGGAACTCAACGTGCTCTCCATTCTTCCAATTATTCTATGGAAAATATGCCGCGGCGTGGGATGACCTGGATGGGGATAACCGAATATAACCGATAAACACTTTTCTGCACCAACATCAAGGAGCAATTAATCCCACATGGAACGGCCGATCTGAACATGTCGTTGGTGCGAACGGGGTGTCCTTCTTTGCGGATCGGACCCTTTTCGGCTCGGGGCGGCGAACCAACGACTCTGAGGAATGTGGGACATGAAGCTGCGGTGATTCAGATCTTGCCAGAGAAGAATCAGACCTCAGTGCTTCCAGAAAGCACCGCCGACTCAAGTTCCTTGACACAGTCGGCCGCCATCGTTCGATCGTTTTGCGATCGCATCACATGTGGCCCAAGCGAGCTCAGCCGCGTTCCAGCGAGGTTTGTATTTTCCTGCACCACCGTGGGAAAAGAGATTGTCATGTCCGCCAAACTGCACCAGTGCGGACATTTTTCGGCTGCGTGGCTGAAATAGGAATTCGTGTAAACTGTGATTCAATGCGTTGATGTCCGTTGTCCAGTTGCCTGTTTCTTTTTTCATTCTTTTAAAGTCTGCCCTTACTTCATTAAGTAGGTACTTAATTAAGTAAGGAGGTAAGCTACTAACAACAGGAAGTCCTAGCTAGGAGAGCTTCCTTGAAGAAGCTCTCGCACAATGATTGGGTTCCTAGATTTTGGGAAAACTTGGGTTGAATCTTTACTCTTCTGTGACCAGACAATACTCTTGTGCCTCAGACGCCTGTCGAAGGATCGGAGTCATCTCTCCTGAGACGCCTGAAGGCCTGGGACACTAAAGATATCTGAGTGCTATTCAATGTTCAATTCTTACATATTCATTTTTCCATTTCCGTTTCATTTGTTCGTTTCATATTCATTTCCTTACACGTTTCCGTTTCCTTTTTATTCGTTGTATTCATTTATTACTTTTAGTGTCCGTTTCCATTTCCGTTTTTCCTTTTTATTCATTTATTCATTTATCGATGTCTTTTTCCATGTTGCGCTTTTATCGAAGGTCAGATCCGCCGCCGGGGCTTGGAATGGTGGGCCCGGAAGGCCAACGAGAACGGCAGGATTCGAACTCAAAATGGCCGCTTGGACGACGAGACAACCGCTGCCGCTATTAGGTTGGAGGCCATCAGCATTGCTAGTAGGTTGGAGGCCGTCGCTAG